GTCTCGCTTTGTCGACGAAACTGGAAGCTACTGTTATAGACATATTGTAATAAATTAGAGCTCTTACTATCCGAATATCTGAGTATTCGAAATCCGAGTCTGGAGTACCTATCCGAAATAATATCTAAGTAGGTATTCGAATGTCCGGATTCAGATTTTCTCCGTTAATTACTCAAGCCTGAAGCTTTCCTTGTCTGGATTTAGATTAAAGAAACCAAGTTTAGGTAAAGGGTTAAAGATACTTGGTATCCGATAGACTCGTCGTAAGGAGTATACGAATCTATCCAGATATTCGAATACAAATCACGCGAGTCACTTGGGTCTAAATTGAGTAGCTGCTATCTGAGTATTAGGATACTGTTAGATACCGCTCTAACCTTAACAAATAAGATTTGCCGTCGGGACAAGCTTTGCAACTATGTAAACAGTAAGAACCATAATAAATGAATTTCTGAAGAATAACTCCAGCAGTATACAGGTATCTTTTTCTTAATACGTTCCAGAACTGTTCTATTTCTTTTCCGGTAGACGTATCGCCGAACGAAAAGCAAACACGAAGCAATTAAGTCGTAACAGTGGCTAACGACGAAGATACGCGAGGGGATGGTTCTTCCGAAACGAAAGCAGGGTCTCCGACCCGTTCCGCGGCGGATCGCAGCACGACTACTGTTTACAGGCCACGATAATCCAAGCCGGGTATCCGTAACTTCAGCGTCGGCATGAAAACCAATTAACCCGACGGCACCGGCGTGACCCAGGCTATCAGCCTGTAATCGGGACACATGGAAAATTAGCAAGGACCCGGAAAACGCTTCGGCTCGTTAACGAGACCGATACTGCACCAGGAAGCGAGCAAAATCTCCAAACTGTATCCGCTTCGTGGAAATTTGCGCGTGAAGACAACGCTGGAACTCATCCAGCTTCGCGATTATTGTCAGAAGCGATGGAATCTTTCAAAAATTCCCTTCGATTCCCTTCGTTTTTTCGCTTGAGACATATTTACTCAATCAGTGATGGCCAGGAGAGAAACACTCTAAGTTGAGAACACTGTACCTAATATGGTGACGAGTGTTAGTATGTCCGTGTGCACCAACACGTCGAACCGCTGATGATAAACACAACGGGAGACACAGACTTCACACCAAACGAACTCCAAACCAACCAAGATGACGCAGAAAAACTTCAATAAGTCCACGATCGGTTGACCAACAAGAGGTAGACAATAATGTCGCTTCTCTGTCGCCACTCGAGTGCAAAGAGTTAATATTCGAATCGCACACGGAATTCTATTTAGACTTATCGACATCATGCTTGGGATTATCGCGTATTGAAATCACACTGCTTCCTTATTTATGTCTAACAAGTTGTAAGTTGCAGGTAGGCAATCGCTGTGCTCACGAAAAAGCTTAGAGGGTTGCTTCCAAAAATGTGAGATTTTCCAGCTCACCTTGCTAAATATACGACATACCTCCGAGATGTCAATGTGAAATTTTGGTCAGAGTGATGTCGACTGATTGAGAAATTCACGACACGACAGTATCTATTGAGAGCTTGGAAGCAAAGACGCTAAATGCGTGGCGTGTGGCAATTTTGTGATCAGAACGAGTGGAAACTTCTTTGCCTACAAGGCAATTTTAGGGTCTCTATTCCCTGCTGAGACACTTAACTAGTAAGTATGAAATGTCCGATTACCTCAAGTACCAAGTTTGATACCCGATATCTCTGATATTTCACTTTAGCAGTTCTTTGTTTCTTTCTATTGTGAAGGTATGTCATCAGCCTTTCAGACGCACGTTTTGCTTTGTGATTATCTGCCTTTTGCAGATTAAATTTTGTAAACCATGGATAAGTCAAAAATTCGCGTTATTTTCGAATATTAGTTCCGTCGTGGAACTAATGCAGCGCAGACAACTCGAAATACTTAACAAACCCTTAAACCGACGTTCCTCAAAAATACCTAGTCTCCTCTTTATCCGTGTAATAAACTTGTCGTATGAAACAGTCGTAGAAACACAATTAATAGGTCGCCAGACTGAAACTTTCCATTGCAACTTCGTCTAATAAATTTCGCAACAGGATTTTCGCGAAACATGGAAACCAAATTCTCATCTGTGGAAATGCATTCCGCTATACTACATCTCCATCAAAAGTCGGCACAGAGTTTAATAAACGTCTCGGTGGCTGTGGCAAGGGAAGGTAGCGAGGGTGTCTCCGTTGTTTTGGGATTCCAAGCCGCGAATGGAGGTCAAGGAGGGTTTCTGGATACTGTGTCGGGGCTCTTTGTCCCTAAGGCAAGGGGTAAATTGTGACCTATAAACGCGAAGCGGTCGTCGACGTCCTTGGAACTGAGATACCACGTTCCAGGTTCCCTGAGGGACCAAAAGAAGCAGAGGGGTCGAAGAACGGTGTGCACCTTGAAATTCGCGGGCAAACAGAACTATTCGTGTTTATCTGGTTATGTGCAACTATCTCCTGGGAATTCCTACCTCGAAGACAGGGACACGCAGTTTTTGTCACGACGGATGGTTAAAAGCGTGGAACGTCAGCGAGCGTGTTGCACAGACAACTTGCTCCATTCTCCTTCATCTCTATCTGTTCCCTTCGTATCGCGATATTACCTGGGAATCGTTGCCTTACGCCAACATCGGAACGAAGCTTCCGCTTGTACGCGTCGTTCCTAGGCTTCTGCTTGCCTCTGCATCGTTCTACGTTTCCGCCTGTGCTACACGTTTCCTGCTCTCTCTCTCTCTCCGCGACGCGCGTGTTTTACGCTCGCACAGTGCAGCCTACACGCCACTATGCATTCCACGAGACAAAAGGGTCCGGGGTTGGTAGAGACGGTTAGGTGTGCTCGCCTGTCTGGCTACTAAACGCGTCAGTTCTCGTCGGAACGAGGGATGGTGGTTCTTGAACTTTCTCAAGTGAAATCGATCGACGAAGAATATTAATTGATATTGACTGTTCGGTAGAAGATGGGCGGAGCAAGGACCATCGATGAGTCGTACCAGCTTCCTGATAGACTTAGACTAGTTTAATTAAAATAGTTCAACTATGTACGAAGTTTCAAGTGGAGGAACCTGGGGTGAAGTCGTCTTGAGTGCTTCGGGTGGAAATTTTTTGCTTTAATAAACCGCGAAGTAGAGAGAGCGTTACGAGAATTATTAAAGGTATTTTTCAATCTCGCAAACGCAATGCCCAGGTGAATTTAGATGGAAATGAAAACGGCCAAGGAACGAGGTACAGTGCAAAATTCGCTGAATTTGTCTGGTATGCCAGTAGAAAGTTCCATTCCAAAGGAGAGCTGGTTTCGCGGGATTTAAATATGAACAAGATTTTGTGTGTGTAAGAAAAACTGTTTACTCTCTACCCTTGCCTTTTGCAAGAGTAAAAATTCCGCGGAACTCGTGATTCACAGGCAAGCTAAAGTTAAAGCTGCTAATTAGACGTCACTTAATAGCTACCCCAGCATAGAACGTCTTGAACCCGAAATCCGGCGATTACTCGTGCCAGGAAAATAGCGGAGCAACCTCAAAGAGGCAAAGGTATTTCGTTAAACGTAGCAGCCTGATTAAGGAACGACAAGGAAATTGCCAATTAGCGTTGACGATTCGGAATCGAAGGAAACGTAAACCGCTCGTTCTCCGATCTCGTAAGCCAGGTCCTTTCCTTTTATTTCGCTAGAGTGTCGCCGGCAAATCTTATTTAAGGCAGATTTATCGGCCGAGGCCAGCCCTGAGAGATCGAGCTGGGATATTACGCCGGACCCGGATGCGCCGTTCACAATGCGACTCCTCGACTCAAAAAGTGTCATAACTCAAAAGCCGAGCGCCTCTTCGAGCACTTCCGCCATTCCAGCACATCGTGTGCCAGAATCCATCCTCTTCTCGTCTCGTTGTCCCGCTTCTCTGGCTATTCCACTCCGAGGGACAGAGGAAGAGAGAGCAAACGGAATCCCCGTGGTTTTTGTTAATAACGCGAGGATCACTCGTGGAAATCAAAAATCTCCGCAGCTTCATGCACGACTCGTTCTTTTCATCGAACGTGAAGATGACGAGCTTTTTGCATGGAAACGGTTGTAGCAAAAGTTATTCTTAAAAGAACTGCTCGATATACTTGGCTCCTCATGGTTGTGCTCCCCTAACGCTTACCTCACACAGGAAGTTTTCACTTGGTAAAAACCACCTCGATTACCTGTTAAACTTTTTCAAGTCGTAAACCACCGAGTCACCTGGTGAGTGTAAAAAAAATAAGAATAGTATCGTAAAACAGATTTGATTTCGGTGGTATCCAGATTGGTTACGTTGACGTGCACATTTTCAACCACGTCACGAGCAGAAGTCTCGATCGTTCGCGTTTACGACAACCCGTATCGACGGGGTGTAGGTACATCCTCGAGTACCGAAGAGGAAGCGCGATGTTGAGTTACGATAATCGCGTTTCTAAACATTTCCCCGGCGTAAGACAAAGTTTCGGGCGAAATGGAGCGTACGACGATCGCGGTGGCGTTTCGTACACGCGGAAGAAAGTCGCGCAACTCGTAACACAATCTGCTGGATCTATCGTGCGTGACGAGAGGCGTTGGGGGCATGATCGATGCGCGTGTGTCACCTAGCCAAGAGGAAACGAATCGCCTCTCCTCGCGTCCCATTTTTTCGTCCTCTTTCCCAACGAACTCCATTAGAGCACCGGGATTGGCTAATGTGCGCTCGAGCGAGCACCGCGCGGACGCTTTTTACGGGTCCACGGCCCGCTTGAATAATTGTGTTTTGCAACGTCTGCACTGGCCAAGTTCCGGGCATGGATCCAAAGAAGAATTAAGCAGAGGGAAACTTTTAAAGTCGACCTATAAAAGGCACAATACTCGTTTCACCAGAATTCATTCTCTTCTCGCTATCGATCGTTGTTCGATCATCTCTGAAATATCTCCGAGTGCACGTGTCTTCCAGTGGATTATATCATACAACACGTAGATAGTGCGACGTGTCTACCAAGTGTGGAGTATGGCTTTTAAAGTGAGTGTACATCACGCGATTGACCATTCCTCATTTTTGTCTAAGCGTGATAGGTGAACACGGAGTTTTGAATTGGCACGATCGATCAATCGCTTTCGTACCATTTAATTATTTATCGGCCGGGACATGCTCTCTCGCCGCGCTAACAGAACCGTCCTGTCCTAGTCTACCGGGAGAGTTCTATCGATTCCCCGTGACATCGGTTAATCACTTCGTAAATTGGAAATTCTTCGCAAGATGAAAACGTTTCGTTTCATTTCTTTCTAACTTGCGTGAAAATTTTACACACTTTCAACTTGCTGCATTTACTCTACCAGAACAGTTCCAAATTTCATTACTGTGGGGGTTGCTGGTTTCCGTGATCGAGACTCGAGGGAAACTGGAATTTCCAATTAAATTTATTTAACAGATAATAAAACTGTACGGTGAAACTTACTATAATTCCATACAAGTCTGCGGGTATTGTCTCTCAAAGTTATGCCGTCTCTACTCCTTTTTCCACACTGACCCCGCGCATGCATCTTTCAGACTCTCTTATTCTCGCACTCGCACACTCTATCTCTACTACTACTTTCCTCTCATTCTACGCAGACATACCTCGGAGACATTCAGTCGCGTCGGTTGAAATCCTCGGCTGACCACGCACCCTTCTCAATTATTCAGTCCCGAACAATCTTCTTTCGCACCTCTATCGCTTCAGATCAAGTATTCTCCGTTCTATACTGAACACGCGCAGAAATTCCATCACTCCCACGTTGCTTAATATTTTTCACGCCTCGGAATAATTTCTAAAGTGAAGCATTTGCTGGATGCAGTTGATCGTATCCATTCTGATGCTCTCGGTTCTATTCGACGATCGAGTCGAAGCAGGTCACGCGCACTCGTTTCAACATTTCCACGGACCCGTGATAGGCGATGCCGAAGAGGTGACTTGGAAAGACAATCACGGTCACCACCATCACGATTATGTGGCCCATCCACATTACGAGTTCTCGTACGGTGTGGAGGACCATCACACCGGCGACTATCACGGACAGAAGGAGCACAGAGACGGTAAGCGGAGAGTAATTCGCGAGAGCAGACTGTTGAAAAGATTGGGTTTGTGACACGGACGCCCAGCGAAGCTATTTTTCAGATATTTAATTAAAGTTTTTATGTGACAGTTAAGCGTTAGTGGCAATAGGCTAGATCTGCAAATTGCTACGTGGACGCAGAAAGTCTGTATTTCTGAAGCAGTAGCGCCTTGTTTCTGCCCACTCAATAGCATTAGACGTGCCGTAAACCCGTTATAAAGAGCACGAGCACGTGGACACAACTCTGTTCGTATTTTGACCTGGTCCTTGCGTTCACTGGCACCGCCGCTTTGTTAAATAGCTATGAAAGTGGGCGGGATGCAAAAGGTTCTATGACGTCTATCCAGAGTCTTAGAAATCTAGGGTTTCGTCAACAGTGTCACTGCCTATTTTACGAATTTTTCTGTATAATCGACTAACTCTTGACAAACTCGAAATAACAAGTACCCCAGCGATCAACCATTAACCTCTTAACTGTGTAAGACGAGTTAACTCGTCATTGGTTAGCCAGTACTTAGAACACAATAATTTATTTCTCGAGGGATTATTGATTTTTAATTGTACCGTTATGCCTGTGTCGAACGTAAAATACGTCATATTCACATTTACCAGAAGGAACAGAAGGTAATTGGTTGTAATTATTACTCGTTTTATAATTATAAACTTGAGATTCAATTTCTGTTCCAAAGGGGAACACAGTTAAGAGGTTAAGGGATCGTTCTAGTAATCAGGCTTTAAAAATCGATTTCTTGTTTTTGCATTCTTTGGAAGTATGAACCTTGGAAAATGTAGTACACAAATTTTTACCGAAAAATTCCAAATATTTCGATTTTTGCAACCTTTTACAGCAATACCTAGCTCATCTCTGCCTGTTTAGGGTGTACCATCACCTTTCAACCTGAAGTAATATCAAATTCTGTCAACGATGCATCCCTTTTTAAAGGCGCTGTCTTTACCACCAGATACAGCATTAACCCTTTGAACTCCAAATTTTGTTTTAAATTTTCTTTTCAATAACTCCCCATTATTTTAAGAATTTTATTTGAAACGCACTGCAAAAGACATTTGGTTGATAGGAACCAATTTAAACAATTTTTTTACTAATCATATTGACATTAAGGGTCATATATATGTGTACCTATTGCTCATCCAGGTAAGAGGAAATATTGCAAAATGTAATACATATTTAAACTGGCAAATTAAAAATTACTTCATTCATACCTGTGAATAAAACTGACGTCGAGTCACACTCGACGCAGGAGTCCAAAGGGTTAAACAAACAATTGAAAAGCTATTTCAAAAAATTTTCTGCGTGTCACATAACTGCTTTAATAAGCGAAGAAAGTTTGACATCGTTATTCATTGTACACACCAAAAAAGAAAATCCTGAATACTTCCGAAATTGTCGGCGTGATTACTAGAACGACCCCTTAACCGTTCTTCGGAACACACATTCAGAATTACTTCGCACAATACCAAGTTGGCGTGTGAGAAACGCGTAAAACTTAGTCTAAAACAAACACAGACAAATATCTACTTTTTATTCCGCGGCAGAAGCTCTCGCTGTTTCTATGCTATGCGTACGATCAGGATCGCGAGAAATAAGTATATGTATGTATAATCCGGCTGCGTCCGTGGAATAACGATGCAACGTCTCTCTGGTACGTGGCTGAGAAATGCACAGCTAGAGTAAGGGTGGACTGATTGCGAGAGTAAAAGTGGCGACGTAATCTTTGTTCCGTGAAGGATTTTATAATATCACGCCTGGAATACCGAATGAAACGATCCAAAGCGACCCCTGTACTTACCTACTTTTGTTGCCCACGGCGAAATTCCTGAAACGTGTCTTCAAAATTAGTTTACAGCGATTCGAGACGAGAGAGACCTTTTGAAAAGTCGCAATTCGTTTGCGGGCTCTTTCGAACTGGAGACTCTTCCACCTTCGTTTCTACGTTAAACGGCCTAATTAAAGCCAGATGGTGTCCTAGTTTAATGGCACTCGAACGTCGGAAAGTCAGGGGGGTTTGTTTCCAGCCAGGTAGATTAATAGACACGGTTACAACGGGCTCCCGGAGTAATTTGTCGAAAATAGGATTTTTTTTTGTTCAACTCTAATTCGAGACATGAGCAAGGATGTAGGATCTGACGGCGGGTCTCCTTTAAGGTTCTCTCCTATCGTTCGCGAATCTGTCGTTAAACTACACCGAGAGTCTCTCTCTCTAATAGACTTAACAAGATCGTAACATTATGCAGGAGAAGTAATTACGTAACGCGGATCTCCTGGTTTTCGAAGGGAAACGCGTTGATTTAACCGTGGCTGATTGCGACCTCCTCCGCTAGGAGGATGGAAGATCTATTCACCGATTGAACTTCAAAATCGCTCGGTTGGAACGTTCAAAGAAGCTGGTATTAGTATCGTGGAATGTGTTTGACATGTCTCTCCCTTTCGTGTCCTCCCTCTTTCGTGTACGACTAGCTGGATAGTGGCTTCGCTAACTATTCGCGGTGGGAAATTTACTTTGGAAATAATTCACGATACGATGTCTTTACAACCCATTCTGTTTCCACTTTACGTTCCACCGTTAATCCGCTAAGTAAAAGCTTACGTCTCCCAGCTATGAATGCTGTTTGTGCGTGAGTTTGTCACCTTGCTCGTGCTACAGACGTTTCGACACTCTTCCCTGGAATTTCACTTTGTGCTAAATTTCGAGACGTGTAACAAAACGCGTGCGTCGAGACGAAATTATTTCTGCATCCAAGGTACGATACAACCACGGTGAAATATTAATATGTCGATCCATTTTTCATGAACTACTTATGTATACGGGATGTTTCAGAAAACCTGTTAATGATACTCAGATAAATATTTTTTTTTAACATCGTCATATGGAGGTGCTTTTTATATGTAAAAAAGAAAAATCTAGCCGGAGGATAACATCAATTTTTTTTTTCTAAAGGGAATGTCGGGTAAATTTCCATGTATTTACATAGTCCTTGCGAAACTGAGTAACCTTTGCTCGGAACATATTTCAACATTTTGCACGTATGGAAAGTTATAACGGTTCGAATTTTTTGCAGTAGAGTTCTAACTTCGATACACAAATATTTGCGCATACTGTATTTGTTTACCTTAGTTACGTATTGACATTCATGATGATTGAGAGAATAACGGAAAGTGTGAAAAGTACAACTGTAACGTGTTGATTTTTAATAGCCGATAGTTCTATCGACTGCAATTTAGGATAATTCAAATCGTTATAACTGGACTGCGGATTTTTATGCATTTATAGGAAATTTGAAGGTGCAAAATTGCACAGATGCACGTAATATGAAAAAATATACAAAATATCTAAATTACAGTGCTTTCTATAGTACCTGGAAGGTGAAATAATTTTCTACCTTTTTTACTATATTCTCAAAAATATGAATTTGCATAAAAATCCGCAGTACAGTTATAACATTCGATACGTGCAGAATTTTGTGAAATATTTCAAGCAAAAGTTGCGCAGTTATGCAAGGACTATGAAAAAATATAAAAATTGACTTGACATTCTATTTAAGAAATTGAAGTTATCCTCCGATTCCTACGCTCAGAGTAGCACTACATTTCTTTTTCGTTTAGACAATATAAAAGACACCTTTGTACGATGAAATTTAAACGAAAAATTATCTCGACACTGTTAATAACTTTGTAGATATCAGCTTATAACAAGTTTGATGAAACACCCTGCATATACATACATATATACATTGCTTCGTCGAGTAATTTAATAAGCCTTTGAAGCTCACAGAGTTTCCATTTCATCCTCACTACGTAGTGTGCTATAATTTTCTCGATGAGATATTTATCCCGGAATTGCGTTACCTAATCGTTCTATTAAAGCATTACTTTTTTCCGCCGCGTCGCTCGTGGATATATACAGGGTGTCCCGTAACTCCTCGAACACCCGGAAATGGGGAGTTGCTGGGGTGACTCTGAACAACTTTTTCCTTTACCAAAATGTTGTTTGAAGCTTCATTTTTGAATTATTAACGAAAAACACTGGCCAATCAGAGCGCGCGTAGAGCCCGCGCTCAGGGACGGGCGAACAGAGATTCACCCGCGCGCTATCGAACAAATGCGTACGCATGACTTC